TATTTTGCTCTGTTATACTTCAGACCAATAAACAGTAAAGTAACGTAGATGATGGCTGCCCAAGGTATTCATTTGCAGATATTAATGGATTGTCCGCAAGTTTTAGTCATTTGTTGTTGATATGCTTCTAGATTGTTCTAGAAAACATTACTCCTCTTCATTATAAAATTCATATGAGCTGTAGATTCACATCAAGCACATATCGTTGCATGTCAGACTTCATATTTTACACCTGTTTAGGGTTACTGTTAACTCACGATTTGTACGAATTCATTAAATATACGTTGTTTTGATGTAATGTTGGCTGCTCGGTGTTTTATAAACGGTGAGCCAGATCATTCCTGAAATGTCTTTAGATATGAGCGTTTGTGTTAAATATCGTCCGCAAACACGTTTTCTTCTAGCTGGGGTTGGTTTTAATAATGTCTAATAATGTGTTCATGAATTGACGTCTTGAGGCGATATTCATTGAATTCCCTACCTACAGGTCCAAACAAAGACAACATCAGAGCTGGTTGTAAAAGATGTGGATATCGTGAGTATGACTATCTATCTATCTATCTATCTATCTATCTATCTATCTATAAAACATATAATTTGAATTGTATTTTGCCATTTGTCTGTCTTCTACAGTTAAAAACATACATATACAATTCAAACAGTTTTGTGTGATATATTTTTTTTTTGTCTGTCTATCTGTCTGTATCTCTGTCTGTCGTTTACACATATAACATACATATCATTTTCAGTTTAGTTTGAATTGTCTTTGTCTTTGTTAATTAATGTTCAGCCTCACCATATTCATACTTTATCTCCTTTGTATCATCCAATGTTTTCATCAGCCGGACACCTTACTTTTGAATGTCGTAATTTTGTTCGCGTGGATCCGAGAAAGGACATTGTTCTGGATGTGAGCAGCACCAGCACTGAGGAGAGTGACGAGGAGGAGGAACAGGAAGCAGTCAGTAAAGAAAAGATCTTCGGCAGCAGCCAATCAAAAGGTTCCTTCACCATTTGGACTGAAAAGCTTTATATTAGGAATTTTGCTGGCACATTTACCTGACTACTGAGGCTACGTCTACATTAATCCAGATACATTTCAAAACGCTGTTTTCGTTTCAAAACGCTCTCCATACACACCAGCGTTTTACAAATGTTTCTCATCCACCATTATATTTTTGGTCTAAAACGCAACTGCTCTTATTTTTTGACGCAGGATAGCAATTGCGAGTATATTTTCTGTCATCTTTGCAGGACAGTGATATGAAGAGTGAGCAAAGTAACATATTTGATCAACTGTGTGAAAGTGTATAGCACATAACTGGCACAATAGTGGTATAAACTTACATATCTATTGGTTCATTGTTTTAAAATGCCCCAGTTTCCAATTACTCTTGGGCAAGCTTTTTCAAAAACTTTCACTGGACAAAAATGCCGTCTCAGTGTGGACGGAAGGCCAAAACGGAGAGAAAAAGATGCGTTTTCAAGTGAAAATGTATTGGTGTCTGTGTACAAGGCCTCAGATTATTGTCAGTTCTCATGATTCAGCTGTAATCATTTGTCACTGAATGATTTTCTGATTGATTGGACGTTGTTCACAGGTTCTCATGAAGATACCAGAAAAGAAAAGCATAAAAAGAAAAGCAAAGACAGATCCCATCAAAAGGCCAAAAAAAGGTACATGCATTCAGTATTTGTAGTTATAACATATATTATAACATATTTTTTGTTACGATTACAAACAACCCTTTAAACTTGAATCATAGTTGCTGTTTTTAATATTTATTTGCTTTATTATTTTATATTGATAATGATGGGTTTGTTGTTGTATGTGTACTTGTTTTTCTGTGTAAAAAAATCCAATAAAGAATTTTTAAAAAGTTTTATAATTTATATCTTTTTTTTAAGTGGCGCTCATAGTCCTTCATAAATATGTACCTACATTTTCACATATGATACATTTATCGGTTTCATCTTTAGAATAGTGAAATCACATTTTTAGAAATGTTATGTCATTATTAAGAGGGATTTGATCATGTTTATGCTTTCATAACCTCAGGTCTCACTTATCAAGTGATGAGGAGGAGGAAGTGAACAAGAAGAAGAAAAAGCACAAGAGCCACAAGAAGAAAGGAAAAAAAGAGAAAAGAGAGAAAGAAAAGAAACACAAGAAAAAGCAGAAAAAGAAAGACAGGGGGTCGTCCTCTTCCGACAGCTCTACCGAATCTTCCGACACGGATTGAAGCCGAATAAGTTCATTTATTTGAGTCAGTTACAGGACCATACAATCACAGCCAAGCAAAAAAAAACTATTGTGACGCTGGTAAACACCTTCTGCCAGCGCCATTTGTACATAATTCTGCAACAGACACCTCTGATTGATGGGCTTTTTTTGTGGTGTTTCTGTATTTTGTATATACTTTAGATGAAATGAAAACAACCCAAAATCCGGTGAATACTTTTACCATACTTGTGTTTTTTTATAATGCTTTAGTAAAACTGCTGAAAATATGACACATTTGTTTAACAATAAAGGGTTATGGGCAATTGGGCTTTTTAAATTTATTTTTACTCTTAATAAAAAATAAACAAGCCAGAAAAATAGCTTGTTAGAGCAGTGACCGGCAGCTATATTATACAGTTTAGAAGTCATTGTACAAAATATTTCACTAGAGAATGTCACAACCAATGACCAATCAGGATCAAGTGTTCCAGGGAGCCAATGAATAATGATTTTATCTTGATGTGACCTCACAGTTTCCTCTAGTTATCTTCGAGTATCTCGTTAACTGTTTTTGCTCATATATTTATTCGATTATTTATATTATTATTTAAAGAAGTGAAATAAATAATCCAAACAGGAGGCTTAGCTTTTCTAAATAGCTCACATTCATATTTTCCTCTGCTTTAAATGCTTTAATATCCTTTATTCTGTGGGTGGAGCATACATGCATTTGAGTCCAGCCTCTTAGACTTTGCCAGGGAAGGGAAGGGAAGGAAATGACCTATCTATGTACACAGATGACAAAACTCTTTTCAATACTGACTCTCCCTAGTCAGAAATGAGTTTGCTGATTTTCTAGGTCAAGGTCAAGGTTTATTAAGCACATTTGCAAGCATTCACTACTGCCCCAAAGTGCTGTACAAGTACAAGAAATAATAGAAATAAAACAATAAAATACTCAAAAACATTTAGAAACGAATATTCCTACAGACACCAATTAATGCAATGTCACAGCTCAGCTGATATTAAACGCCAATGCAAAAAGGTGAGTCTTTAACGGTGATTTAAAACACTTGACAGAGGAAGCTGCTCTGATACTGAGTTCCAGGGCGTAGGACCTGCTATTGCAAAAGCTCTGTCCCCTTTGGTCTTCCGTCTTGACCTTGGACAGTCTAAGAACTGCTGTCCGGTCGACCTTAGTGGTAAATATAAGGTGCTAAACCTTTTAGGGATTTAAAAACGAGCAATAAAAAAAAAAAAACGGATTCTAAAATTAACAGGCAGCCAATGAAGAGACGCCAATACAGGGGTGATGGTCACTGCGTTTATTCCTGTCAATAAACACGCAGCTGCATTTTGCACTAAATGTACTTGGCGGATTGAGCACTAATCAAGACCATAATATAAAGAATTACAATATAGTCCAAATTATTTGTGATCAATGCATGCATAACCCTTTCTAGTTGGCTATCATATGTGGCAGGTACGGCTTCAATTTGTTTTTCGAGTTTAAAAGAATTATCAATTAAAACACCGAGATTTTTTACCCATGAGCAGCAGTTTGAGAGTTTAGGGCCAAGAACATTGTTTAAACTTGAGGTGTCGGACTCCCCAAAAATTTCTAGCAGATTATGGGGGGGGGGGGGGGGGGGGGGGGGGATGCAATCAAATCTTTTGATTGATGTCTAGAGTTTATTTCCTGAGATAATTCTAAAAGAAGTCTTTGATAATGACAAAAGTCATAATATAACATATAATAACAAATAATATATTACATTCAATATGTAGGCTATAAAGTGTTCCAGTACAGCAAGTATATTTTTAAAGATTATTTTATTAAAAAATATTGTCCTCCAAATCAAAGTTATTGTGAGATAACCTATTTATCTTTAAATATTAAAATATGTTTGAAAAAAGGATTTTTGTGAGTGTATGTGAGTAAAATAATTAACTTTTTAAATTACTTAAATTGCCAAAATCGATTCTACTGCAATTTTTAAAGGATTTGAATCTTTTTATCTTATTATAATGTCATCACTGCAGTCAGGAATAAAGTTTTTATGAGTGTACGGTGTAAAGAAAATAATTGTTTGTTTTTTGACCAAATAAATGCAATGAAGGAAAAAAAAAAACAATTTTGGAAATGAACATATTTATTAGGTGAACTTTCCATTTAACATTAATGTTTTTAATCGTTTTAGTAAAAATATGAACCCTGGTATAAACACCTGCTTATAGCAGTGTGTCCAGTGTACTCTGGATCTTTAAAAGTCATAAAAATTGCATCTCATTACTATACTCATGGCAACAGTGTTTAGTTAACTAGCAATAAATCAATTCTGAGCGTCAAATTTTACTGAGTAAACAGAATCGACAATCACAAGTCACGGAGCATATAAGCCCACTGTCTGTCACTTTAATTTTCCGATAAAAGAAATAGCAATATCCATGACCTTATCTTATAAGAATAGCTTTTATTCATATTCAGAATATTTCAATCATATAGTCTGTCAATTCAGTTCATTAACTATCATGACATTGTATTTTTCGTTCCTCTGACTGACATGAGAGGTGTGGCAGAACAGTACATCAAGGTGTGAAAGCAAATAGCAACTAATAGCAAATTCTTGGAAAGACACCCTGGCTATTAATAACCATTATCTGCTACTATACTGTTGCAGGACTTTGAACCTATAGGAAAAAGGCAATAAATATTTTGATAAAAACAAGGTAGGCCTATACGTATTGACCCTTTTCCATGCATTTCCAAGGGCGTGCCTGAATTTTCAAACCATAAATATTCGGCATCCTGAGCATTTTTCAGTGCATTGAGGAATATCCTGACTGCAGTACTGCCAAGGGGGAAGAACAAATCAGGTAAAGCTACTTTTAAATATCACCCACCTTTTGGTATTTGTAAATTCTATATTTAAATGTTAAAAAAAAACTCCTGGTTATAGGTTTGAAAAATGCTTTGGGAAAATAAAAATAAAAACATTCTAAATAAACTTGATGCCCTAAATTTCTTTACCTGTTCTAGATCATGGAGGTCACATCTCAACCTACTGCATTCGCACCCAGAGACTTTCACACGAGCTTAATGAGCTGCTGTGATGACGTGGGCGTATGTAAGTGACTCCAATGACATTAAACACAAATATATAAGTAAATTGTGAGCTATACATCTATCCTGCTAATGTGATTTACTTCTTATTAGGCTGTTGTGGTCTCTTCTGCCTCCCGTGTTTGGGCTGCTCCATTGCTAAGGACATGAATGAGTGCTGCTTATGTGGCTTAGGAATGCCTATCCGAAGTGTATACCGAACTAAATACAACATACAAGTTAGTATCTATCTATCTATCTATCTATCTATCTATCTATCTATCTATCTATCTATCTATCTATCTATCTATCTATCTATCTATCTATCTATCTATCTATCTATCTATCTATCTATCTATCTATCTATCTATCTATCTATCTATCTATCTATCTATCTATCTATCTATCTATCTATCTATCTATCTATCTATCTATCTATCTATCTATCTATCTATCTATCTATCTATCTATCTATCTATCTATCTATCTATCTATCTATCTATCTATCTATCTATCTATCTATCTATCTATCTATCTATCTATCTATCTATCTATCTATCTATCTATCTATCTATCTATCTATCTATCTATCTATCTATCTATCTATCTATCTATCTATCTATCTATCTATCTATCTATCTATCTATCTATCTATCTATCTATAGATCGATCTATCTGGGCCTATTATTTAGTTTTAATTGAATTGCATGGTTGTGTCTCCAGGGTACCATGTGTAATGACTGGCTCTCGGCGTACTGCTGCTACTCGTGTGCAGCCTGCCAGCTGAAGAGGGACATCAACATAATGAAGAGCACTGGAGCACTGAAACCATGAGATTTGAAGGAGTTTCCGAGTTCTGCTATCTGGCCGTCTATACTAGTGACTCCTTATGCATTTCTCCTGGAAACGAAAGATCGAAGAAAGTTGAAGGATTTAACCATTTAATACGCAATGACAATGTTTTAAATAGAAAGGCTCCAAAAGTTGTTTTGTTGTTGTTGTTTTTTTCGCAGAAGATCCATTTTTGGTTCCCCAAAGAAGCTTTCAGTGAACTGTTCTTAAAGAACCATGTTTTTTGTGTGTGTGAAGAACATTTTAATAATCTATACACTTTTTTTTCCACTGTAAAGAACTTTTTCTGCAATGTAAAGGTTCAATGGATGTTAAAGGCTCTTCATGGAACCATCATTGCCAATAAAGAAATTAGATTTTTAAGAGTGTATCATAAGTTTATTTAAGCCTCAATGGGCAAAATGCTCATGCTTCCACGTTCATGTTATCATAAAATGTAGCTCAGAAAAGGTCCAGTGGTGTAATAGGTTCAATAAGTATATCAAATTATTGTCAGTCATCACACCCAAGTCTCTAAAATTGGGAATGTGTTTACCAGATCTAACAGTAAAGAATACGTTATAAATTTCATTGTAAGAAAAAAAATGGAGGATTAAGAATCAACTTGATGGACCTCCAAACTCAAACCATGTGGCAGCAACAAACAGGAAGTGACAACTCAGATAGATCCACATCTTTAATATTTGCCAGAAATGTTTTACACATATGTCATTGACCCCTTATTCTCAGTGTATCTGACATCTTCATTACATGCTCTTATCTGTTTCCATGTCATCTTTTACTTTTATTATTTCTTTTTTTTGCAAAAACTGGACATGACAGGAATGTCTGGAATGGCCAACATTATGGCAACACTTCTCCACATCTGTAACCTGAGTCAAAAATCAAAAAGATGAGGCAATTTTTGTTTTATTTGAATATGGTTTCATTCAAAATTTTGAAAATGCCCTGGGCAAAGTGAGAAAATGCTATTTAGAAACCATCTCTAAACTCCAATTGGTTTATTTTGTGCTGACCTTATTCCTCTTTCAGTCAGTCAGTAAAGCCATAAACATTTGTTGACACAGTAACGTCTGGGCCAAGTTGAATCCAGCAATCTGGCGTCACAGCTGCCAAAGGGGCATGTCTGACTGTGACGCATTACTATCATTATAGTCAAAAAGAAATTCTTTCCTCATTGCTGGTCTTCAATGATATTATTATGAAAGTTATGCAGATAAATTATAAGGATTTAAGTTGATTGTCATTTTGGAAGTTGTTCAAACAACAACTAAAATCAATAGCTTTGAACTTTTTAATCAATGAAAAAAATACCATGGTTTCCACAAAAAATATGAAGCAGTACAACTGTTTTCAACAATGTTAATAATCAGAAATGTTTCTTGATAATCAAATCTGCATATTAGAATGATTTTTGAAAGATCATGTGACACAGAAAACAAAAATAAATTATGCTGAAAATTCAGCTTTGATCACAGGAATAAATTAAATTATAACATATATTCACATTGAAAACAGTCATTTTAAGTTGTAATAATATTTCATAATATTTTTATTTTTTATATATTTTAATGATGATGTTTCAATTCATTTAATTAGTTTGACTATAATGATGCTGTTGTTCTTGTAAAGTCATGGTTTCACACAAGGATGGCAGCAAATGTCATCAGAGGAAGGTGTGCCTTTTAACAAACAGAGCGCGTGCTTTTAAATATTCAGGACTTTGGACCTAAATGAAGTGCAATATAAATTAAAACTAATAAAATCTACCAGTAAAATTTTTATTGATATTTACTGTAGATTTGAAGGGTGTGTCTGAACTTATGACTGTATATAAAGACATCCTGTGCCAGTTTGAGTGTGTAGAGGAGCTTCCTGATTCAACAGCAACAAAGGTACATTTAAGTATCATCTTTTTGACCAACTTTTTGGAACATGTGTATATAAATTAAGCATTCACTTACTGTAGGAGTCATGTGACTTTTCTTTACCTGTAGATCATGGAGGTCACATCTCAACCTGCAGCATTCGCATCCAGAGACTTTCACACGGGCTTAATGAGCTGCTGTGAAGACATGAGCATATGTAAGTAATTCCAAATTCCATGATCTATAAAGTCTTAAGTAGTCATAATGTGATTTTAACATCAATAATACTTTATTAGGCTGTTGTGGCTATTTCTGCCTCCCGTGTTTGGGCTGCTCAATTGCTAAGGACATGAATGAGTGCTGCTGTTGTGGCTTAGGAATGCCGATCCGAAGTGTATACCGAACTAAATACAACATACAAGTTAGTATCTATCTATCTATCTATCTATCTATCTATCTATCTATCTATCTATCTATCTATCTATCTATCTATCTATCTATCTATCTATCTATCTATCTATCTATCTATCTATCTATCTATCTATCTATCTATCTCGCAAATTAATATAAATATGCATATTTTGTTTTTGCTCAACAGGGATCCATGTGTAATGACTTTTGTGTTGGTTACTTCTGCATGGCTTGTGCTGCTTGCCAAATGAAGAGAGACATTGACATTAGGAAGAGTACTGGAGAATTCTGAGGAAACTTTCTTACATGGTGCAAAAGCGGTGAACATACTGTAATTGTTTTGTTTTTTTCCAAAAGGCAACTGAGAAAAATGCTATCTAGTAGTCTATCTACAGCACACTACCATGTAGTCCTTAATTATTGGGAAGTAATCAAACTTTATGACTTTGAAAGTATAAAGTACAGGCTGTTGCTGACATCAGACTGAAAACAGCCTTTGGACCACAGACATCATGCCACTCAAAATGGGCATTGCTCAATGCCATGCTTGCACTTCATCAGATTATGCCATGTTGGCTGTTGTGTGAAACTATGAGTGACTGTAAGTTAAGAGTCTGTCCTTAGGAGAATATGGTATAGTAATTATTTTGATAATTAAATTGTATCATTTCTGACAAAATGGTCTTTTAATACAGTTAAATTTACTGTAATGTATATTCTTAGTACAGTTACATCCACATACATTGTCTTGGTAAATCTCACTAAATTATTAGAAAAGGCATCAAGCAAACAAGTTGTAAATATAGTGTCATAAATCTGTAAATGCCTTACTATTGTAAAGTTACTCAAAACGTTTCATAAAGCATTCTAATGTAACAAATAAAATACATAAAGAAAATAATTGCTTCTTGTCTTTTTGAACATTTTCAGAATTACAGTTGTGAATGATTTTGGCTACACACTGTCAGAAAAAAAGGTACGAAAGCGGTCACTGGGGCGGTACCTTTTCAAAAGGTACACTTTTGTACCTAAAGGGTGCATATTGGTACCTTCATGGTACATATTTGTACAATTATGGTACCAATATGCACCCTTTAGGTACAAAAGTGTACCTTTTTGTATCACACTGAACTTTAGATACAGATTTCAGAGCAGATTTCACATTTTAGCAAGCAGATTCATGGCCCATCAAGCGAACAAGACCTATGGAGCGGCGGGGGAGGCGGTGTCTGCGCTGCACGCCATGGCCGTGCTTTTAGGTGATGGAGACAAAACTGTTGAAATCTCTGGATGGCGCCATCGCTGACGCCATCTGGGACCTTCGTTCAACACAGTATAGAACTACACTTAAAGGGATAGTTCACTTTGAAATTAATTTTTGATATGTTTTAGCTTACCTTGGGCATCCAAGATGTAGGTGTCTTTGTTTCCACAGTATTTTCAATTTTGATATATTTTTGGTCAAACCGTTGTTGTCTATCAGTCATATAATGCAGGTTTAGGGGGTCCACCTCAAAGAGCATGCACAGAGAAGTCAAAATTTAACATGATTTACTGACTCGAGTCGTAAATGTAAGTACACATTGATGGCCTTACACACGAAACGAGTGGTTTGTGGGAGAAAACACAGCCCATTCTCACCCCCAAGGCGTCACTTAACTGACGCCTTGGGAAGCATTTGGACATGCTTCAATATCTGACGCTTTAGGCGCCCTTTAGCGTCAGTTAGATGACGCCCTAGGATCGCGTGTACCCTACCCCCACCCCACACCTAAACCTAACCGCGTCCTCTAACTGACGCTTTCCTTTAGCACCTAAAACGTCAAATATTGAAGCATGGTCAAAGGTGACGCCTTGGGGTGAGAATGCGTTGGAAAACAAACAGTATTTATATCGTTTTTACCTCGTGTAACCACAGCCATGTCCAACTGATCTGACGGTACGGGCGCTTCGGTCTGCACATGCATTACTCATTGTTTACACAGAGATTTCTGAAGTTTTACCTTTCACTGTGAATATCTAAATATATTTAGATATATCAAAATCGTCTTCCTTTGTAATTTCCTGTATATCTTAGATCTTCACAGTATCCAGGTTTTGCTGGGTTCAAGGCTAACAGGGGGTTTGGTGAGGCAAACGGATAACGTTAAACAGCTAACAACTCTGGTAACATTAGCAGCTATTCGTTTTCAGTGTTAGCACAACTGTTTTATTTATTTATTTATTTTTATCGGACTGAAATGTTATTTCACTCTTGCAAAAAGAGGCTTCGTGTTATCAGCTAGTACTTTGCACAATGGCACAAATTCTTTGAATGGCAACTAACTTTGAACTAGCCTAAATGATCAGTCACTCTGTCATAGCAAAAGCACGAATGTTAGTTGTCAAGACGGTCTGTTGCAGTCAATTATCATGAGCAAGAATGCAAATGGCATTTGAAAATATCGACCATTAAAAATATTAAACTGGAACATGCCATGTTTAACCGCTTGGGTCAACATTAAAACCAGATGCCACTTGGATGCTTAGCTTTATGTTAAAATGATTTTCCAGCACTGCTAATAACTGTAGGTTAACATTACTCCCAATAAAGCTATTTCAAACTTTTTGGATAGATATTATAGACAATAACCTAAATTTGCTCATTACCGAGTGGGGGGTTCAATCTTGGCTGGCAGGAGCCGCTACTGGCATCTCACGTGACCTGTCAGTGGCTGGCTATAGTTGTCTGTCAGTCTGCCTTTGCCGAGTTTAAAAAACCAAAGACAAGAGGACAGGAACAAATAATCAACGTCCAATTATTTTTACAGCGGACAGATGCAGGAACACATCAACAGCAGCATCAAAAGTGGGATCCGTCAAGAATCTCACAATCAACGTTGCAGGCCGGATCTAATCAAGCAAACCCAGAGCAACTATACCCATCTTCAGACACATAGCCTATACTATTTCCTTAGAGAAGTTCAAGGAAACAGCTGACAATCTACCTCTACTTGACAAAAAAATATAAAAAGACAATGGCCCTCATTTATTAAAAGTGCGTATACCAAATTTCCAGCGTAAACCTGCCGTACACCCAAAATCACTGTGATTTTGAGATTTATCAAAGTGGAGAAGAGTCTTGCGACGGAGACTCTATCGTCATCACAGGCGGTCATCTTGTCACAGCTGATGTAAGATGAGTGATCAGCACAAACACAAATACTCATATCTCGTTGAAATCAAACGGTTTTACAAACGGTTTGGTTTCTTACAAACGTTATTAACATGGCTATAATTCTGGATGATTATTTATAGACTTAGACTTCTTTAGAAAGTCTAAGTCGCTTTCTTGTCGTTTATAACAAACCAACCCGTTTGAAAATCAGTAGAAAATTGAACAAGTTATGGTTATTTAAAAAGTACATGCACCATTAAAACTGTTACGAGTGAGCAAGCTGCCTGTGACAAGATGGCCGCCAGGTGCGGTGTCTGCAGACGTCGACCTCCATTGGCCAGCAGTGCAGACGAGACATCTAGCCTTTATTATGGATATGGATATTATTCCCTTGATTTTCTCCCCCACTTACGTGACTTGTTACAGTTTTCACAATTGTAAAGATAACAAACCCCATTCTCCGAACCAAATGCTTAACGATCTAATGAATAAATCACTCCTCCTGCAAAACCTTAAACAAGTGCAGGCAGTTAGACTTTATTTGCAAATCTCATGCATTCTGTTTGCAAAACTCATCTTTAACAAATTTTGCATTGTGATGCACTTATGTTGCAAACCAGTACAACACAACTACACTACAGTTGTCATTGTTTACACACAACGACTGGGAGTAGAGGAGGAAGAGAAGCCTACATGTAAGAAAAAGAGGATAAGGACTAGAAAGAGCAAGGTGTGTTGTCAAAGCTGGATCTAGCAAACCAGAGGGTTCATCCCTTCACCTGGCAAAGGACAGCATCGCCGTTTCTTTCGTTAGATTTGAGGCCCATGCAAATGACCCTAATGTGAAATTAAACACTACTCTATTCCATTGGTTTGTTGTATTTCACTATAAGGTTTTCTCCTTTGTCACTTACATTGCATTTTGAAGTATTATAGAAGTTTTATATAGCAGCAAGTCTGTGAAGCAAAATGGGGACAACATTGTTGAGACACAAAGAAATTTTCCCAACGTTTATTGGATACTCACAAACCATAACTATGAAAATATTAACCTCACAGGGAGAAAGGTCAAGCTTAACAGAACATTAATATGCACCAGGAGTCTTTTCAGTTTTGACCAATGAGAGGAGAGAAAGCTAAGTGATGTAGACAACAGGATGAGTGTGGATTATTGTGTCATCTGTGCCTCGATGGCTTGAGCCGTCCACTCGGGGGCTGCCAGACTGATCTTCTCCAGGAGGTTGTTCACCTGGAAGCACAGCGACTGAATCTGCTTGTCCCAGGTGGGCAACGGCTCCCGCGCTGATGGAAATAAGAGATGTCAAATGTGTAAGCCTCTTAAACTGCATTCATGGCTATGCAATCTTCATCCAACATATTCAGTCAAAAATCAAACATACTTTCAAAATGGACAATGCCATCTATCTGGTCGATGAATCCATTCATGCGGCCCTCGGTAATCATTTGTGATGCTATCTTTTCTGCCTGTGAAAAGACAAAGATATTTAGAACATAATGAAATACATAAATTATTATTAAAGCTTTGAGTTGCTCATCCTTCTCTTTCTATATACATACAGGGCCTAAAACGATCTTTTTGCCACACCTGCCAATGGCCAGTGACTAAAAATTGAGTTTAGACAGTAGTTTTCAGGCACAAAAATTGAATTAAGCAAGTAAATGTAAAATAACACTGCATAGTCATTGTTAAAGATACAATTCAGACAAAAGCAGGGGATGATTTTCTATTTTATGTTTGATTAACATTAAAGCACAGACAGAAGAAGGAATATTAGGCTGCTGTCACTTTAAGAGCGAATGCACAGATCTAATATACTGATACACATGCGTTTACTTTCTTAGCTGTTTATGTTCACTTAAGACATAGCAGACTAGTGCTGGTTACGGTTCATACTGGAAACCGGTGAATATTTTTGTTATGATGTTAATTTTTAATATACCGCTATACGTTCGTTGAATGAACCAAATGACTCAGAAAAAGATTTGTTCATTTTGATGAACGAGTTTGAACAGGAGAGTCACAAACGTGCATCAAAGAACAGAGCAAGGCGAGCATTTGAGCTTATAAAACTTAAACTTTGTCATTTATTTCTTAAATGAGCGATTGTTTCGCTTGATAAGACCCTTATTCATCGTCTGGAATCGTTTAAAGCCCTTTGAACAGTTTGCAATTTGCACTGAAACTGTCTTTTGGACCTTGGACCGTTTGGTTCCCAGTGAAGTCCATTATATGGAGAAAAATGCTGGAATGTTTTCATCAAAAACCTTAATTTCTTTTCAACTGAAGAAAGAAAGACATGGACATCTTGGATGACATGGGGTTGAGTAAATTATCAGCAAAAGTTTTTTTAAAAGTGAACTACTCCTTTAAACTTTCCTGACGATAAACCGCTGGCCCGTCAACTGTCCTGAGCGTTGTTCACGTTTCCTTACATTCATGCATTGTAAGAATTCATAAAAGCCGGCCAACTGGCGAGTGACACTGCTTCATTAACTCGCCAACACCGATTTTTACTTACATTTGGCGCTTGGCAAGTGTGAATTTTAGGCCAAATATATATATGTTGATGAACATACTTCCATATTAGAAGTTTCCTAGCAAAGTCAGTCAACACAGCTGTACCTTTGCAGGTGGAATCTCCAGAAGTGCTCCTAACTCTTCAAAGGTGATATTATTGTACAGTTTGCTAGCAGACAGCAGGTTGTGCTCAATGACTGC